CTGCCATCAGAAGACTCATTATCTTCATCTCTAGGAGAAGATCCAGTTTCCCCATCATAGCTCTCTCCCCAGAGTCGGGTGGATCTCCTTCGCACACCTGGTTGTGCTCTAGCCCTTGAGGGGCTAGACCAGCTGCTGCTCCTGGGCCTGGGGCTTGAACTAGGTTGTAAGGGGCTTGAACTAGGTCGCAAGGGGCTTGAACTAGGTCGAAGCACTCGAATAAGGAAAAACACAGTGAGCCAACTACCATCATCTACAAGCGAATTGCTATCATCATTCCTCTCATCTAATGAAGATTGAAGTGTGCTGAACAAGTCCCCAAGGTCTCTCTGGCGCTCCAGCCTCCTCCAATTGCGCTGTCGCTCAGGATCAATCTCTGATGGACGTGCAGAAGGGTGCTCAAGCCTTGCATGCTTACGGAGATCTGCATAGGTGCCACTGAAATCACATGTTTCACAAGAACAGCTTCTAGACTTTGCATTCATGAATTCACGAGCAGGCTCCAAAACAATCCAGTCTTTTATCTGCCCACGACAAAGGGGGCACAGTAGCTTTGGTTTCATATGATCCTCAAAAGGGATGGTAGACAAGTTGGGTGGACCTTCCTCTCTCCTTTCATCCTGAAAATCTGTAATAGTTGACTCAGGAATTATAGATGACAATTGCAAATCTATGATGGTTGATTCACGAGTCATAGATGGCAATGAGTTTGTGGATAAAAGCTGAGTTCCATCCCCTGGTGGGTTTGCTGATGAATTTTCCCCAAATGACTTCTGAAACTGGTCAAAACAGTTTGAGTGTCGATAACTTGTATCACACATATAAGGGCGACAACCTTTATCATGGGAAGAGCATATCAGGAGAATTGCATTGTGCGGATGTTCCATGCATACAGGGCACCTGGCCTCTTCCCATTCCTTCAAATTTTCCTCAGTGTCTGGAGGGTTTTTTGGCGAAGAGGGATGACTATGGCTGGAACTACATAAAAAAGGAGATCTCCTATGTCTATCAAAAGACATGGAGCGATCTCTTCTCTCTTTTGGCATGTTAAAATCTCAAATATACCAGCAGAAACTCTAAATGTTGGATCTTTCACAAAGCAGGGGCTGCATTTAAATTGAAGTTGACATTAGTTTTCACATTCGTGATTA